CCCGTAGAATAGATAGCATGTCAGGTGACAATAAAGGCAATGAAAAAAAATTAAGTGGGGAAGAAGCATAGGGAATATAGCTCAGGGGTGGAATGGAGGAGGGATGATGCTTCAAATTGGATGCGCGGGATGGCCTTCCTGGGAAAGGGACATCTGAGCAGAGACCTGAAGGACACAGGACAGCGAGCCAGGAAGTCGGCTGGGCCGTGAGCATTCCAGGGAGCAGTTCCCTTTCAGCAATAGAATACTGAAGGATGGGTGGGTTACTTTTGTACAGGCAGCCCAGCCCTGCATTCCTTGTCACTTTCAATTAACCATGAGTATACCCAACCAGCTCATCAAAGAGAGATTCCTATGTCTCTCCCGTCTGGCAGCCAGAGACAGATCTCCCAGCCGGTGCCAACACTGGCACGCTGTACCCTGTTTGCCAAGCAGAGAAGGCAGCCCCACCTCTTCTCGTGGGCCCTCTGCCCAGTGGTGAGAGTTGTAACTCTTACCTTTTTGTGCCCAGCAGCTCCAGTCCCCCACTGAGTGTAAAGGGGATTAATGTTCACTTGTGTTGTCTCTGTACTGGGTGAGTCTGGATTCTCTGTGTAAGGGCTTACTCCTTTAGAAGCAAAATCACCCATTTTCAGAGTCACTTTTAGAATTAAGAATGTAAACTTTAACTAAATTTAAAGAGTATTAGAATTTTGTTGTTGATGTTAAGTCTTCAAAGCTGTCAGATTTAGAGTGAGGATGTTAACAAAGAAGGGTATCTAAATATTTTAAATGTATATATTTTTAAAACTACAATGGCCTTTGTCATTTCTGATTATCTACTCATGTCACAGCTGATGACTTGCTGTCTTTCTACCATACCTGTTGGTCACAGTGGTCATTTCAGGTCTAGTGACAAGGAGGACACTATATGCTCCATGAGGGCAACTACATCTGTTTTTCTCAGCATCATATCCCTAGTGCCAACCTCAGTGCCTCGGATGTAGGAGACAATCAATGCTGATGAATAAATGAATGACTTTAGATGACAGCTCTGGCACAGAGAGAAAATACTTCTATGCTAGAGTGGGAGGGCCAACCACAGAGACCAGCATGTCTGAAGCAGGGGTGGTAGGACGGAGGCATGAGCTGTGATGCCTCACCCTCTAACGTCTGAGATGATGGGAACCCAAGTGGAGTGTGCGTTTAATACACAAGGTAGGGCAGGAGTGGGGAGGTGAAGTGAGAAAATCACTGGCACAGTATTTGCTCCCTTCTCCCCTTAGAAACTCAGTTTCATCATCTGGAAAATGGGGATAACAATGCTACCTCACATTGCTGCAAGAATTAAGTAGGAAAATGTATATAAAGCCCTTGGCACAGAAACTACCTCCATAAAAAGTCATAGCATACCCTTGTGTTTTCACCCAACAAGTGCACATTGAGAGGCTGTGTACCCTGTGGTTGGAAACAGGGACCTGGACTGAGTAGGTTTGAATCCCAGCCTTGTCACTTTGAGCTGAATCGGTCTTAATTCCTCTGGGCCCCAGTTCCCTCATTTGTGAAAAGCAGGACAATAATGCTTATCTCATAGTGTGGCTCTGAGAATGAAATCAATTAATAAATGTAAAACACTTAGACCCACATCTGGCACACAAGCATTATTATTGTACGCTGGACATTTTCCATAGTTGTTTCCTACTTTGATCTCTTTAGGGCTGGTGGAAGCAGTGAGAGGATGGATAGGAGCAGACAGATGTGTTGATGCGATGATGGAGGAGTTCATGTTGGATGGGCTGGATCCGTGTCTCTTTTCAACACTGGTTCTCAAATTCTAGTGCATTGGTTTCCCCCTGAGGGCTTGTTAAAACACAGACTGAGGGGGCCCTACCCTCAAAGCTCCTGATTCAGTAGGTCTGGGATGGGTTTGAGATTCTGTATTTCTAACAAGTTCTCAGATGCTGCTGCTGTTGCTGGCCCAGAGACCACACTCTGAGAACCATTGAAATGTAATAAGAAAGGATGTTAGAAGTTCCAAGAGAAGGAAAAAGGAGGTATGCACAAAGAGATATGAGTTCTGAAAAAATTCCAAGTAGGACTGAATTACGGACACTGATTGGAAAAATAATCTGTTCATTTAGTCACCAAACACCTACTCACTGCCCACTGTGAGCAGGGTTCTGTATTCACCAGTCAGTTTCAAGGACCAAGATTTAACTGAGCAGAAACAACAGTGAAATTGGAGAGAAATATCAATCTATTGAATTAAAACAGAACAGCCTTAAAGAAAGAGAAGCCATGTCTCCACAGGCCTAACTCTACATCATGTATCCATCTGGCCTAACTCAGGGATCATTGTTTAAAAATATGTTTTTATTGACTTTAGAGAGAGGGGTAGGAAGTGGGAAAGAGAGACAGAAACATCGATGAGAGAGACACATTGATCGGTTGCCTCCTGCATGTTCCCTACTGGGAATTGAGCCCACAACCAGGCATGTGTCCCCATCTGGAATCACACTGGGAACCTCGTGGTTCATGGATTGACACTCAACCACTGAGCAATGCCAGCCAGGCTCAGGCATCATTTTTTAAATTATGGTAGAATACACATAACATTAAACTTACCATTTTAAGTGTACAGTTCAGTGGCATTAAGTACAGTCATATTGTTGTGAACCATACCACCATTTATCTCCAGAACTTTTTTTCGTCTTCTCAAACTGAAAATCCATACCTGTTCATCAATAAATCCCTGTTTTCCCCTCTTCCACATATCCTGGCAACCACTATTCTACTTTCTTGTCTCTATGAATTTGACTATTCTAGGTACCTTATATAAGTGAAATCATACATTTTTGTCTTTTTGTGACTTAACAAATGTCTTCAGGGTTCACCCATGTTAAAGCATGTGTCAGAATTTCCTTCTTTTTTAGGAATGAATGATATTCCACTGTATGTATATACCACATTTTGTTTATCCATTCATCCATCAATAGACATTTGGCTATTGTGAATAATGCTGCAATGAACACGCATGTACAAATACCTGTTTGAGTCCTACTTCCAACCCTTTTGGGTATATAACTCTAAGCATTATTTTAAAGCAGATAGAATTTGTTTACATGAAGATTAAGATCACATGCCTCCATCCCACCCCCCACCTTTTCTTTTCTTAGAACTTTACCACTCCCAACACTCAGGTACCCAGATCTCTCAGCTGCCTGAATCTGATAAATCATCCACCTCCAGGTAAATTAGCACAACAAGAACAAGGGAATATATTTGAATGCATTATGGGCTGAATGCATGCCCAAACCTTCCTTTTCTTGTAATGGAAAACTTAACTGACACTGTCCCAGCACACCTGTGCCAGGAATTTATGCAATATTCTATGCCTGGCCAGCATGGCTCAGTAGTTGAGCATCAACCTATGAACCAGGAGGTCATGGTTCAATTCCAGTCAGGGCACATGCCCAGGTTGCAGGCTTCATCCAGTGTGGGGCGTGCAGGAGGCAGCTGATCAATGATTCTTTCTCATCATTAGTATTTCTATCTCTCTCTCCCTTTCCCTTCCTCTCTGAAATCAATAAAAAATATATTTTAAAAATAATCTAAGGAAATGATTTAGTTTCTGGAATCAGACACCTGATAGAGGAATCTGGTCTTACTATTTACTAGCCATTGAGGCAAATGATTTAATCTCTCTAGTTTCAATTTCCTGATCTATAAAGTAGGAATAAAACTAAGATAAGGCAAGCTAATTAAATTAAGATAAACCAAGATAAAATAAAGCACTTAACCTAGTGCCTGGCTTATGGTAAGTACCCAAATACATATATACCTTATATACATTTGTTAATACTGTTGTTAGTATTATTGTGGAGTAACTCCTTCAGATACATGCCAAGAAAGTTCCTGCCATCTAGGTATACAGAAGGACATTATAATGAACATGGACTTAACAGATCTACTAGGTCAGAAACCCAAAATCCTAGAAAATGGAAATTTTTTTGAATCACAGGATTCAAAATTACAACCTGGCCACAAGGGATTGACACATATATCTGAATGGGGAAAATATTTTGGGGCAGGGTCCTCTGTGAAGCCCACGTATTGTACCAGCATCCCCAGCGGCCAGCTATGGGTCTAAGGAATCTTCTGAGTTTGCAAATGCCAGTTAGAAATGGATTCCAGAACAATGGAAACTTGAGAGGCGTAATGGTTACCACAAATTTGGCCAGGCCCCCTCCTAGGATCGCCCAGTCCTTCTGGGACATGTTCTGACAACTTGCCGGCCTTTTATGAAGCCTCTGAGAAGGAATGATGTTCCTGCCACTTCCGTTAGCAGAATATTCCGCGGTGAAATATGACTCACTGTCAGGGCCCGCGCCTTTGCGATCCCCTTTCTTCTCCTGACCCACTTTCATCGCGCTGTGCCCTTTTGTACAAAGTCAGATGAAGCCTCTCCGGGAGGAGCTTGCTCTGTGAGGACTGACATTTAAAGACCATTTCCACCTCTTAAACTCACTCCTGTTCATTTAGCCAAGCAAAGCATGTTTAATTCTTTTAATCTTCCCCCATAAATCAATCCCGTCATTCCCTTAATAGTCCTTCTCCTGTGCTTTGAACTCCGTCCAGTCTGGCCATCCTAAGCTCTTGTTCCGTTTACACTTGAGAATTGCCAGTCACTCATGAAATGGCTGTGCAGGAAAAACAGCCGGGCCTGCCCGGGTTCCAAGCGCTCTCACCGAGCTGACTGTCTGCTGCCTAGAGGTACTGTGAGCCCAGAGAAAAGCCCTGCCTAGTGGCCAACTCCTTAAGGTAGATTTGAGGCATTTGCTGCCTACTCCATGATGGGTCTTTCAAGTAGACCTGACCCACCTCGCCAATGGTCAAGGGAATTGCACGAGAAGCCACCTCAGACACCTACACCCCTCATTTTACTCAGGCCTCTCAGTTTGTCCACCTATCTCTTGGCTTCTACCTACCAGGACCATGGATAAGCCCAGAAAGGATCTTACCTGGAAGGTGCCAGCATGGTCTTCTTCCTTATCACCCTCTCTGTGTTCTTTGAGGGCAATTAGTGTAAACCCTCTGAAGTAGGAGGGCGTAGCAGCTGAAAGTGTCACTGTGGAGAGAGAAGAAAGCAGATTATAAGCACAGGAATCCACTGCCTCTATTTGTGAAATGGATAGATATGAGTTCTCCATCAGCATTCCAGACCTGTGAATTAGAGGGGCAGTGGACAGTGGGAAAGGCTTGTCCAGTTAAATAGTGAACTCTCATTCTCTCCACCCAGTTCCCTCTTACATTTCAAAACTTGCTAAATGCCTGAATTGCTCTCTCACTTAGGAATTATTGAACCAACCAAGACTGTGGTGAGCTCTCTCCCAGTAACCATGATTTGATAAAGATAGTCCCTGGTGAGCAACTCTAATCTTGACAGTTATCTAATGGTACACTTCCATTAGACTGACCCAAGGGAAATCTAGCTGCTCACAGCACATATTGACAGAGACTGTCTTGTGTTCTCCAAAACACATTTCCTTTCTCTTGTGGGCACTTGGCTAGACCACATAGTCAGCCTCCCTTGCAATTAGGTGGAAATCATGGACAGACATGATGCATGCTACCTCCAACCTGACACATATACATTTTCCATTTGATCCTCCACTCTTCTCTCCTGCCTCTGCCTGCCAAATGCAAGGGATATGGCAGAGGACTGGTGTCCCGGGAGAAGGAGAAGAAGCCACAACATACAAAGAACCTGGGATTCTGAATAACCACAAAGAATCACTCACTGACCAGAGACAACCATATTGTATTTTGCATAAACTGGAAATAAACTTATATTATGGAGTTTTGTGATAGCAACTGGGGCTATGAATTTACATTATACTCTTCCTCTTCACATTTACCTAGAGAACTATGTTTTCATAAAAATCCTGTTCAAGTGTCTTCTCAGCAATGATAGTCAACCCTCCCTTTGTATACCCAATCTCCAGAGATGAAAATCTTTTACTATAATTTTTGTACTGAATTGAAATTCCCTTTTTATCTGCCTTCTCCACTGTACTGTCCGTTAATGCTGGAGAGGGACTGGATTTTAATTATCTTTGTATCCCCAGCATTTAGCACAGAGCCTGGCATCGAATAGACACTCAATTCAAGTTTCTTGAAATTTATATAAATCAAGGCTTAAATTACTTTACTGCCTTATCAAAGTGCTAAGATTCTGGTCTTTAAACATGGAATTATAGACTATTAGAGCCTCAAGCTACCCCAAGAATCATCCATTGCAGCCTTCCAACTTTACAAATAGGAACCAAAGACACAGAGAGGTCAACAACAGCCTCAAGGTAGTAAGACCACCTAAAGTTGCACACAATGAGTATATTCATAGTATGGGTATCCCACAAGTGTTGATGACATAAAAAAAATTTATGATCAATTCATTTAAAATATAATATTTATGCAATTCTGATAAGCAACCCCCTGTTGGGGAGGGGCATTTAGTATTCCTCAAACTAGTTTCAGTCCTGAAAATGAAGCACCCTAAAACTCCCAAAACTAAAACCACCATCTTGGATAATGTTCAGTGATCCATGAGCAACCAACACAGTGACTCTCAGAGAACTTTGAGACACAAAGATTGCAAATCTCATGCTGTGATTGGTCAGTTCATCCTGCAAAAAGTAAAGGGGCATTCTTATTGGCTACTGATGTCTATAAAAGGTCAGATAGAAAGTAAGAAAAAAAGCATGGGGGGAGGGGAGCACTATAAAGTACAGTAAGAACATTGTGGTGCTCAGCAGTGGCAAGCAGCCACTGGATGATGGTTATGATGTCAGGAGAAAGAGCTGAGATCTCTGAGGAACAGATGGAATCCCCCAAAGCAGTCTGAGGCTATCTGAAGTGGAGTGGGGTGGTCTTCAAGGTCACAATTCTGGAGGAAGGGGAGCAGACAATAAAGGTGCACTGCCTAGATCCCCTCAAATTCCTTTTTACCATTTTAAAGTGCCCTTGACACTGATGTGTCTTTGCTTCTAGTGGCCAACACCTGTGACCCTCAGGTCACTGGAGCCTGCTCTGCCTAATATGAAGTCCCACATCCTGCATCAGGAGAGACAACTCGGAGGGGTACCTGCCACTTCAAAATGGCCCTCCAGGATTAGACTGAAACTCTCCTTCTCCTTAAGGACCTCCCCTGAGGTCACAGCCCGTCAGGGACTCTCCCCCGCTCCATCTTGCTTCCCCACTCCCTTATTAGTTTTTCCCTGGGAGCACTTCCTTAATAAGTCACCTATACCCAAATCCTCACCTGAGGGTTTGTGTTATGGATGAAATCGTATTCTCTAAAAATGTATGTTGCAATTCCCCCCCTGACCTTCCCCCACCCCCATGCTTGGAAATGTGACCTTATTTGGAAATAGCATCTTTGCAAGTGTAATTAGTTTAGAGATCATACTGGCTTAGCTCTAAATCCAATATGCCTGGTGTCCTTAGAAGAGACCTGGAGACACACGGAAGAATGCCATGTGACGACAGAAGCAGAGACTGGAGTGAGGCATCTACAAGCCAAGGAACAGCAAGGATTGTATCCAGAAGCCAGGAGAACCATGGAAGAAATGCTCCCTCTGAGCCTCAAGAAGGGACCAACTCTGCTGACACCTTGGTTTCAGCGCTTTAGCCTCCGGAAATGTGAGAGAACACATTTCTGTTGTTTTAAGCCTCTGGTTTGTGGTATCATGTGTGGCAGCCCTAGGAAATGAATGCAGTACGCTTCTGGGGAAGCCAACCTGAGACAGATAGTCAACCTTTGCTTCACAGCCACTGGCTTCTGCATGAAGTTCACACTCCATAGACTAGCAGGCCCTTGGCCTCTATCACTCCAGCTTCACCAACCACATTCCCATCCCTCCTCCTCCCAACACTGCATTCCAGTCATGGGACTCACTCACTGGCAGGTTCCTGGAAAGTCTTATCACTTCACCCTGCAGTATTTTTTCTCCACAAGCTCCTCATATGCCTGGAATGTTCCACTTCCTCCATTCTTAAGAAACTTCTTCAAAAATCAGCTAAATTTTCACCTTTTGTGTGATGTGTCCTCTGATTTCCTCATCACAACCTGGGTGCTCTTTTTTCCTGGACCCTGTTAAGATGAAAAATACCTATACAATGGGCATAATAACGGAACTTACTTCAAAGTATATGTGTGAAGCATAAATGAATTAATATCATGTTTGGCATGATTCCTAAAATTCCTTAAAATCATGTTTGGCAAATAATAGGCACTTAATAAATATTAGCTCTTATTATTATCATCAGTGGTGAGATTATCCCATTAATTATATTTTGTGTGTGTGTGTTTTTAACCCATTTTGTAAATCCTTCAAAGATGAAAACCACATCTGAACTCAGCACCGTAATTGACACAGAGCTGATGTGTAATTAAACCTACTGAATTGCATTCATGGATTGGTAGACTCAGTGTTATGAAGATGTCAGATCTCCTCAAATTGATTTATAGATTTAGTACAATCTAATTAAAATCCCAGCATGTTTTTATGATATTGAGAAGCCAATTCTAAAACTTATATGCAAGTGCAAAGATCCAAGAATATCTAAGGAGATTGAGAAAGAAGTAAAAAGTTGGAGCGTTTATACTGCCAGATATTGATATACATTTATAGAGATTAAGCCAGTGTACTAAAGCAAGGGAAACAATAGGCCAGATGAATAGTTTGGAGTTCAGAAAAGGTTTCACAAATAAACTTGATTTATGATAAAGGATGTACCTCAGAGCAATGGGAGAAAGAAAATATGTTCAATACATGGTATAGGACAACTGAATAACCATTACTGAATGCCTTATAGTAATGAAAATGAACAAATTGTTGTACATACAGCATGGATAAATCTCACAAACATAATCTTGAGTGAAAGAAGACAAACACAAAAGAATATAAAAAATATGATTACACTTACATATCCTATATAATAAAAGCCTAATATGCTAAGTGTCTGGTCATCTGGTCATCCATTCAACCAATCAAAGCATAATATGCTAATGATATGCTAAGGCCACTCAACCGCTCGCTATGACATGCACTGACCACCAGGGGGCAGACGCTCTGACCCATAGGTTAGCTTGCTGCTGGGGTCTGGCCATTCGGGACTGAGCGAGAGGGGCCGGACACATCCTGGACACGCGCAGTTTCTCCCCGGCCGGTCAACCTCCCGCATCCCTCTCTGGCCCCGATTGTGCACCAGTGGGGTCCCTCACCCTGGCCTGCAACCTCTCGCAATTTGGAACCCCTCGGGGGATGTCGGAGAGCCGGTTTTGGCCCAGTCCCACAGGCCAGGCCGAGGGACCCCACTGGTGCATGAATTCGTGCACCAGGCCTCTAGTATTTATATACAGTTCAAAAACAGGCAAAATAATCTATGATGTAGAGGTCTGGACAGCAGTTACACATGTGGAAAAGGAGAGTGAGTACTGATTTGAAGGGGGCACAGGGATGCTTCTGGAGTGCTAGGCTTGTTCTATTTTCTTGATCTGGGTGTATTCAATGTCATAATTCATTAAGCGGCATGATTAGTGAACTTTTCTCTATGTAAATTACATTTTTATTAAATGTTTCTGAATGATAAATGTTCATCTTACTGTATATCTGTGCAGCACCCTTAAATGGCTAATCATAAACTCAGCTTCCCAGAATGCTGCATTCCTGTAGGTGCTAGAAAACTAAGGTTTGACTCTACCTTATAGAATACAACCCACAAGAGGCTGAGCTCAGTGTGGTGTTTCAATCCATAATTATCACAGGTGATGATGGTATTACACAGTATATAATTTGAAGGAAAACAGGAGACCCCTATCTCTCAGAGGACCCCATTATATGACTCTCCTGAAAAGAACAAATATGCAGTGTATTCTGAGTTACAGTAATGATTAAATATGGCAATAAATAATAGAATTTTCTCTCTAATGACTTCTTCCAAGTGCCTCCCAAGAGAGGCCATTAAGAGACCCAAGAAATTCAGGAAAAATGCTTACAAAGGATTTAAAAAAGAAAAGAAAAGAAAAAAGTCCATAAAAAAAAGAGCAGCCATCCTATGATCACA